ATCGAGAAGTGTTTTTTTTTTTTGCGAGTACCGAGGCGTGCCACGGAGCATTTAATTTATTTTGTAAGGAAAGACATTTCGGCACACGTTTTCAGTCAAGACCGAAGGCTGTAGGGGAAGGTGGGGCAAGGCGACCCATTTAAGGTTTTCATTATTTTTTGTGGCTTTCAACCATCAAGTCGATTTATTTTCGACACATTTTAACTAAATTTACCCAAAAAAATAAACAACGTTACTGACTAGTAACTATTTTTCTATTAATTAAAAAACCTGTTATACGTATTATCCAAAAATATGAGTTTCAATACATTAATTATGATTCATTATGATAGCTTTTTTTTTAGAATTTTTAAGCGGTCCATTTTACCCCTGGTATTAAGCAATTGTAATTATCAGAAGAAAGAAAAAACGGAAAAAAAAATGTTTGGTTAATTTTTGAGGTCCCACCCACCCCTAAGTTAAAGGTGGCTGCAACTAACACACTGACGAAGTAGTGAAAAATTGTCCTTCTCCTCTAATTTCATGAGTTATTTTTTTTATTTTTCTATTGACATCATTTTTTTAAACAATTTATGGTAATTTTGTTTTCGCAAAATCAAACTCGTGACTACAGTGTCTATCAAACTCGTTGCATAATATAGTATTATGGAATCTTATATAGCAATATTTACGTCCGCGGCCATTGGCAATCAGATAGCGGGTTGCTATAGGCGAACTAGATAACGCGGAGGTGTTTAATTTAGAGATAACCCAAATTGATCAATATATAAGTGTTTAAAACAATTTCAATCAATCCCCATCGATATAAAACGATCACGCGCGATCGATACCACTACAAAAACAACGGCTCTTTGTTTTAACGACGGGCCAACAACTACTATCGACAATATTAGATCGGATTATTGTATTATTTTTGAAGTTGCCATCGGAACTAGTCATGTTTCGAGGGTCAACAACACCTAAATTGGAAACACTTTTTGTCTGCGAGACCGCTGCTCTCGCAGTAGGAAATCGTTGGTAGGTATAGTTTGGTTCAAATTATACAATTTACACTGAAAACATATCGGTAAACCCCATTGTATAAGTCACGAAATCCTCAAACCGCAGGGCCGGCTTCAAAACATTTACATGAATATACAGGGTGGTTCTTAAACTTGGGAAAATTTTGGCAACCGATAACCAATGAAAAAAAAGACAGTAAAATATTTATGTTACGTATTTTGTTGAATATATTATGAATCAAAAGAAACAAAAATGCAACTAAATAGCGGCATATTATCTAGGCTTGTTTACTTTACCTTAACTTTATTAGGAACAAAATATAAGTTTATCACAATTATTTTGTTTCTTTTTTGCAGTTTGAGAATTGGCCGACATCTTTTATTCCGTGGTTAGCATTGACCGATCTTCCGAAAAGCAAATCAATTTACCTGAAAACCAATTACGACTAAAATGATTAGAAATTAATTTTCTATTTTATATTATAAAAGCGACTAAAAGTTGCATTATAATTAACGATTCAAGTATAAACGTTTATTATTCTAAGCAAATAAAGGATACATGAAAAAAGACAACAATTTCAAGAATAAAATGCTTGTCTTTCGGCATCTACATTTGCATTCACTAAAGAAAATTGGTTGGTTAGTTGACGTACAGTTTAGGAAAATATATTTCCTTAGACTGGAAAGTCCTATTTTTTAGTTTTAGGCACATGTAATATTAGTGTTTTCAGGGTTTTTTATAAAATATAATATTTTTATTGGATTTACATTATTTCCCTCGACTTTGACCTAATTGGCAACTTTACACCTTCATTCTATTGGCTGGTAAAAGTCACATGCCAGCAAACTCTATTTTCCTTTTAAAATGTTAAAGAAATCTTTTAGAAGTAACAACCGACTGCCTTAAAAATATAAACGTTCAAGTTTGATTAATGTCGTCATCTTATTATTATAAGAGTAATTGTTTATAACAAATACGCTATACATAAAATATATTTTGGAAAAAAAGAAAATCGTTATGTTTTAAAGTAACTAAACAAATAATTTATAAACAAATAAATAAATAAATAAAATAAATAAAACCAAATTAGCAACAAAACTGACAATTGCAGAACGTTAAAAATATAAGAAAATAAGATTCACAAATGCAGATACACTAGAAATAAAACATTTGTTGTGGTATGGCCACATAATGAAGATAAACGCTGAAATATCGCCAAAGATAGTGATGGAATACCAGCCAACGAACCGGAGAAGAAAAGGACGATGATAGGCAGGGACACCCGGCGAGATATAATACGACCAAACATATAGTGCATTTATTGCTTTAACATTTTAAATGTTTTACATTACCTTAACGTATAATCTAAATGGAATCTCAAAGAATTTCGCAATTGAGGATGGATTATTTAAATGCAATTGATAAATCATTCGTAACATTTAACACAAATTAGAAATATTCCAAATACTTCTCCATATAAAGAAGAAATTAAAGAATTTCTGTACGAAAATGATTTATATTTTGAAGAGAGCTACACGAAAAACAACTTCTGCACAACGCTGCACCAAAATTTAGTGACAGTACCATGAACGTAATTCGGCAAGTGGCAACTAAAATATCAGTATAAAGATGGTCTAACTGTGAAAAACGAGTAATAAATAAAGAAAATATTTATTGAGAACGATTAGTGGCGCAGTTGATAATTAAACTAGGTGATTACAGTAGCTATAGTGACGTTTTTTTAAGTGACCGATACTTTATTATTATTATATTTAATACTTTTACTAATGTTTCTAAGTACAGGTTTCAAGAATAAGGGTAAGGGTCTGCTCGGAAGGGTGTTCTATAAGGGGCTGCGGTTTTGTAGTAATAAACAGTAGGCAACGTTAATCACTTGTTTGGTTGTAAAAGCACTATATTTCTGATCCAAGTATACGAAAAAATGGAGGAATTTAAAAATAGTTAAATTTAAAGTAAGTTAACAAATAGTAAAACTAATTATGGTTTGGTGGTAACCAACACATTACCTCGTAATTCGGACCAATCTATTCACGCGGATTCGATTGGGCGGCGGCTTCTAAAACCCCCGCGTTTCGCACAACCTTGAACGCGCGAAAGCCTTTATGGGTTTTAAGGTCCCTTACGGCACGCCGAGCGCGAGATAAATTTAGACGAAATGTGGGCGAAACCGGGTAGGAAACGAGCTCCGCATTTCATCCGGAGAAGATTTTTGTACCAAGAAAGTGTCGGTCGTCTCTAAAAATACCACGCGGTCCATATGCTCGGTCCCGATGCGGATGGGTTGGCCGGAATGGAATTCGGTCGCACAGGAAACCAGTTTTTATTGATAAAAAGTACAAAATTCGATTTTTTTTCTTCAAATCACACTCGGTATAAAATAAAGTACGACGTATAATAAGGCACAAATGGAAAACATCTTATCTGGACGCGAATAACAAGTTTTTGGCATCGGTCTTTCGTAATGTTTAGTAGGCTCTTCGACAGTGGGAAATATAATGTATTTATTAATATAACCGTCATCTATATTAATCAGACTAGAAAAAAAAAGTATTTATCAAGAAACCTCAAAGAAAAGTTCTAATTAGACTAGATTCTTTTTAAAAGTACTCTTTTGACATTTATTTTTCGCAACCTTAGTGTCGTACGTTTGTTATAATTTAAATCCTAATAGAGAGTCTCAAAAAGTACTTTTCGGTTATAATAATTAAGCCAAAGAAGAATTGTTAACTAAAATATAATTAGCACTATCGCTGTTACTTCCTTACCGAGTTTATTTGCTTTTCTTATTGCGTTATTAAGTGAATGAAAAAATAATTAAAAAAACAGCGCAAAATCAGTATTAGATGCAGTCATATTAGGGATGATCCGCGTTGTTTAGAAAAGTTTACCAGAATCGGCAAGACTATGTTTCAAGACCTTCTCTTCAAGGTCTGTGGTTATATTATTGGTTTGGATTTACTTTCTGCAAACTTTTCAACAGTACACAAAACGCGAGACGGATATAGAATGAAATCTGATGATACCTTTCTAGTCCGTAGCATTCGAGAAATAACAAATTAAAAATTAAATACAAAATAAAACGAGAGCTAAACGTAAAGTCTAATAATGTAAAGATACCAATCGGTATACACTTTACAGGACGAATGTAAACACACTTTAACACGTTTAACTTTTGATATTAACGAGGTCATCTGGGAATAATTTTTCAAAAACATGTCGAATAGCCTACTGCAAACTTTTCAGGTTGCGGCTAGTGACATCAACGGTAAATCTTATTAAAAACTCGACGGTTCAACAATTTTACTGCCTTCTTCAGGATCCTGAAAGGAAACTTAAAATACCGTTCGTAAATGACAAAAACTACACCAGTGGACTTATATAAAGGAAAAATGTTAAAAAAGGAAATAAATAAATATATATCAAAGCAATACAAGTTACTATGCCTATTCGTTTTGAAGCTTATTGTCAGTATTTCTTGTTTTGGCTGTATTTAACGTGTGTTAGTTTTAATTGTTGTTGGTCACTTGTTTTTTTTTTGGTATTTCTGTAAATATACATACCGAAAAGAATACAATATTTAAGTACTTATATACGACGACTTCCTACCTTAGATATTGATTATTTCATTGTATATATTACGGTAAGTGTACACTCTTGGGAAATGTACACTTTTACCGTAAAATGTGTACATTTCCTAAAAAGTTAGGTATATGTCAACTGAATATAATGACTTCATTTCACATTTCCCGGAAGTGTGTACGTTTTGGTTAATTTAAAAAAATAAAATAAAAAAAAACTTCATGTTTTAAGAAAAGTTGGAATACAAATTAATTAAAAATATTGTTGCAGTAAAAAAAATATTTATCTAAAAAAATAATAATACAAAAGGCTTTAACAATTAAAATTATTTTAATTAAAAAATGTAAATGACAAACAAAACATACTTTTCTTTGCAAATTATATAACATGTCGTAGGTTATGATCCCAATATTCATAAATAAAATTTTCGTCCTAGTTTTTCAGGACCAATGCAATCCAAAAAATAATAATAACATACTTTTCTTTATTATAACAGTTAAATTTTATAAGACTATAAAGAAACATACAGAAATTTCATAATGAAAAAAGCTTTATTTATTGGGACAAGGATTGCTATTTTGGCACTTGGAAGTAGATAATATTCCAGCATTTTTATAAATGCATTTTTTTTTTTTGGACATATTCTTTTACAGATGCATCTTTTAAAACCTTGTCCACCAGTGGAGGACTGCATAATAATTTCACTTAACGATCTCTCAACATATTCGTATGATATGATAAACTTCCCTTCGCAAATGGCGAATTCATGGCTAAAATAAGATTGCTTTAAAAACTCCCTGTTTAGTTCCTAATTTATATAAATTTTATCGTCATCTTTAGACAAAACAAAGCATATCAAGTTTTTTGGATCCGTTTTACTACGGCCAACGTCCGGAATGGAAACTCTAACATTGTCGCCAATCACAGCAGCAGGAAATTTTTCTTTCGAAAGATTACACATAACTTGATTTTCTAAATTTCCCCTTGCTTTTTTCTTTCGAAAGATTACACATAACTTGATTTTCTAAATTTTCCCTTGCTTTCTTTCGAGCTTTATCAAAACTTCCATCTTTATCTTCATTTTGGTTGCATAATAAATCATCATACAAAATTGTTTTTCTACTTCCTTCTATAAAATACCAAATTACACAAGCGAGAAGCGTCACTTTACCGCGTCAGTTTCGTTTCCCCCGGATCCGAGCCACTTCGGACATTTCCGGGATTTTACCGCACGGATTTGGGAGCAATCGGATGTTTTCGGAGATATTACCCACGCCTTGAATTTTGACGTTTGTCAATTCTGACGGTCCTGTCAGTGAATGTATTCGTGTTGTTTTGCGAAAATGTAACCAAAAACTAAAAAAAAGTATCGTATGCAACACGTCCGGTAAACTTTTTAAATCACTCGTTTATTAATAATAAACTCGTGAGTCAAATGCCGTTTACCGCACTTGTTGCATAATATACTATTGTCATGCTTATTTTATTATCTATGTCATTATAATTTGAAGTTTCCTTTTCAAAACAATACTTTTGTTTTAATGAACTCGTGAGTCAAATGTCGTTTACCCCACTTGTTGCATAATATACTATTAACGTTTCAATGGAAAATTCATCGTTTTCTGTGACTTTGCTATGTGGTGAATTGGCTACGTGTCCTCCTTCTAGTAATTGCTCTAACTCTAATGTATACTTTTGAATACAATAGCTTCTTCTTGAATGTTATTGAATAAAATGGCAAGTTCTGTCTTCGATTTGTTTTTTTCAAACATTTAGATTTCTTAAAATAAAAAATGGACAAATGATATTTTAGCTTCAAGTATCACACATTTTAAATAATATATAAAGATAATCCTTAAAGAGAACACTCTATTATGGCCCTTCATCACATGCAACATCTCCTCTTAAATAACGATCCACCACCAGATAAAAACTACCCCGGAGCCCCCTCAAAAGTTCCGATTCCTCTCCCTCTTATTATGTATCGCGTTCTCCAGCGGCTGCCTCTTGCGCACGTAATGCGTCTGCAGCTCCTCGATCTCCTTCTCCATCGCGGCGTCCAGCAGGTCGAACCGTTCCTTCAGCTCGTCGTAGGACAGCTCCTTCAGGAAACTAAAGTCCGTGTCTACGGGCTTGATCCTCTGCAGTTTCGCGTCGAGCGACTCCGACACGTCCCTCGCGTCGTCGTCGTCGGCTTTCCGATCTTCCCCGTAGGCGCCGCGACTCGACCCCGACGCGTTCTCCTGCCTAGCCTCCTCCTGGTCGAAGTGTTCCAAGAACAAAGGCTTGTACTTCTTGGTTTCCTCCGACTTCATCGTCTTCTCGCCGTCCTCGTCGTCGCTATTTATCACGACCATGGTGCCCAGATCCGATTGGATCGTGACCATCGTGCCGGTCTGGCTGGGAGGTTTGTTTGGCACGAGGGTGGCGTCGTCGGGCCGCTGCGTCCTGCAGACCGACATCCTGCCGTAGCTCTGGTTCTTTCTGATCTCGCACGCCTCGGAAATCATCAGGGTCAAGGCTTGGGCGCCGCCCGACTTTAGGAGGAAGACGTGGCGGATCAGATCGGTGGCCGAAGCGCGGTCGCATGGGTTCTTCACCAGGCACAGACTAACGAAATCGATGAACTCGGCGCTCCAGCGGTCCGGGTCCCTGAATGACGGTGGCGGTTTCGTCGGGATCATGAACACCGCTCGCATCGGGTGGATGTCCGCGTAGGGCGGTTTGCCTTCGGCCATTTCCAAAGCCGTGATTCCGATACTCCAGATGTCGGCGACGCAGTCGTAGCCGATCTCGAGGATTATCTCGGGCGCCATCCAAAATGGCGACCCGATCACCGTGTTCCGCTTGGAGATGGTCTCCGTCAGTTGTCCCGCGACTCCGAAATCGGCAAGTTTCGCGTGTCCGTCCGTATTGAGGAGGATGTTTCCCGCTTTGATGTCCCGATGTATTTTCCTATTGGCGTGAAGGTATTCGAGACCTTTGAGCGCGTCCGACAGTATCGTCGCAATCTCGCACTCGCTCAGCGTCTTCTTCCTTAGTCTTATGATGTCCGATACGGAACCCGCTCCGCAATACTCCATTATGATCCACAGGTCGGTGTTCTTGAAATAGCTACCGTAATACCTGACGACGTAAGGGCTGTCGCACTGTTGCATTATCGATATCTCTTTGATGATCTCGTGGAGGTCGGTATCGAGCGGCACCTGTTTGATCGCCACCACGTTGTCCGACTCCTTGTGCAACGCCTTGTAGACGCTGCCGTACGCGCCCTCGCCGAGTTTGCAGATGATGTCGAACACCTCTTCCGGCTGACGCGTCAGGCTCTCCTCGCTCAACATTTTCAGCTTGCTGTTGGCGGACATGGCGACTGCGTAGGGCGGCGCCCGGGGAGGGGGCAGGGGCGCGGAGTTACGCGATGCGGAAGGCCCCGGGGGTCATTATTACGCGCGGCGACGAAGGGGTGAGGAGGGAGGCGCGCGCGCGCGAAACTAACCTAGAAAGATGAACTGAGCCAACACATTTTGGGGTTTCGCTGACGGGATACGGGGTGTCGTTGAAACAATCTTAAGCAGCTTTGAAAAGGTTGTTTTTTTTTTATTGGAATCTTAAAAACGAGATCACTTTCCTTTCACAATAAAAAAAACGAGATTTCCCGAGTCGCTTGGAGCAACGAGAAAATTTAACCAACATTTTAATGACACCCTGTATGTGTAAGGGTTAGTAAGCGCGCGCGCTGCAGAGAGGGCAATTAAACCAAAAAAAAATTAACTTTATAAAATTTAAGGTTTGATATGATAATATTATACACCCTATGCCTGAAATACATTTGATAAATATCTTGATATTTATAAAAACGTAGAACATGCTAAACAAAGTAAAGTATTGATATTGCAAACTCTTGCATTTCAATTTAATGTTTTGTATTTGGCTATTTTCTTATATAACGGTAAGGTAAGGTAAGTTTCAATCTGTTTAAGAGAAAAAAAACTGGTACAGAGTATCTCAAAGTATCAAAATAAAAGCACTATTTTTGAAAATCATAAATTCGTTCGGATCATAAATTTAACGCTTTGTTGCGATTGGGTGTTTTAATGACTTTTATTAAATTGTGTAAAAAAATAACATTTTTGTAAAAGGGCCTCCCATATTGCATTTCTTCGCATGTAGTTTAATTTTAAAAATATATTAATGGGAAAATTTTTCATGCTATTACAAAATCCTGTTGTTGAAAAAACACGTCAAAAACGACAGAAGGTAACGGCCAGTTAAGAGAGGTAAATCATTTTTTTTTTTAAATAAAACTGGCTCAGAGAACACGCTAGAAGATATTTCCAGTGTGCAAAACGCCAGATAGAGAGCACACCAACTAACACCAAGTAGAAAAACAGTTTTTTTTAAATATAATTTTGCTTGAGGTACATTTATCAATTTATGACATTGTCCTTTTTTAATATTATTTTTAGTATTATTTTATTTTATTTTTTAAATTAAGGTAGGTCTTGAATTATTTATTAACTTTCACGGTTGTCGCTAGATGACGCTGATGTGATAAAATAAGCATTGAATATGTTTAATTTGCATTTGTTGGAGTGTTCACTCAACTAAAATGGCATGGATGGAAAAGGATTCCAGGATATAAATCTTCCTTCGTTTGTTCAATTCAACACACTTGCCATATTTAAGGTTTTCTTAAAACTTTTATTATAAGGTCATAAAAATATGTTCTGTGCTTAGTTTTATATTTGCCCTTTTCTTGCAAAAAAACTTTAATAAACTTGGAGGAAAAAAATTAAGAGACAAAATTTAAAAAAAAAAACATTTCAAAACTTACTTACTTTTTGAAAAAAAAATTAAGTGTATTTTTTATATATCATTTTAACCTGATAGGATTGTTTATTACGACGAAATCGGTGAAATCTGTGAAATCATATGGTTGTGTGAGAAATATAATAAAAGAAATGTCAACGGAGCGGCGAGTGTTTTTTTTTTCTCAGGAAAATTCCCCATCAACCATTTTTCACGGACATAAAAGCCCCAAATCTAAAAGGGTTTTATTTTGGCAACTGCAACTGTTTTGCGGTTAACACTTTGCACTCGTATATATGTCCTTTCTTGAATACACTGTGCTCTGACCATTATTTTATCTGTCTAGTAGGATTTTTTTTTCAATATTTTATTATTATTATCATAATCACTACCATTATTATTAAATTACTTCATACAAAATATATAAAAATTACATCCTATGATATTGTAGTGTAAGGTACCGTTCGAAGCAATCCTCAATGTGTAGTCCCGGGTGCAAGAGTCACAAATATACCTAGTTTCCCGCCTGCTGCCTTGTACTTTACGGTTAGAACATACCGCACAGTCTTTTTTCTTTCCATCACTTTGGCGTAAAATATGTAATTTACCATTTAGCCGCTCTTACATGATCTGCCAGAAATTTTGTCAACCAATTCCCGAACAAACTTTAGATGTGTCCATTGGCTTTTTGTTTTGCCCCCGTTGCGAAATTTTATATAATAAATATGCATTGACACTAGACATTTCGAGCACCCAGAAAACTAACTTTCGGTACCATTTTAAAGACTTCCTCAGGAAAAAGTATGATAGATATGATAGAATCAGGTATAAATTTGATTTGAATAGTACCTGTCAAATGAACATTTAGTTTTAACAATTCTTCTGCAAGTATACTCTTCATCCTGGGTAATTGTCCAATAATTTTTGATACAGATGTAACACTATCCTTGTGCTTACAGGTAAATCAGGTCTCACTAAATCTTCCGATGTCAAGCTTCCTTAGTACGGCAAAATTAAATAAAACATATCCGGTGTTAGCATCCGCCATTAGATAAATTCGTATCCCCCATTTCGTAGGCTTGTTGGGATTGTAAGTTAAAAAATGAATTTTACCCTTAAATCCAACAACAGGTTCGTCTACCGATATCTCTCTTAATGGAACAAAATGTTCTTTGAATTGCTTGTGCAAATAATCTACTGACTTTCTGAGTTCAATCCAAAAAACTTGTAAAAGTTGTTCTCTTCTAAATACGCTACTAAAAAAATATATTTTGGCGTTAGAATGTTGTGATCAATACTCTTGGAAATTAGATAAGGTTATCGTACCCATATTTAGGAAAACCCCAATAAATGCGGTAAACCCTTCTACTGTAGTATCTACCTACGTTTTGACAACCTCTTCTGTGCTATTTTATGTCTAGCGTAGTTATTTGTTTGTTCCACTATTTTTATTATTAGCTCATCGGTACAAAAGAGCTTGAAGAAATCTATGCAATTTGTGATCGTACCATTTTATACCCAGAAGTAAATAGAATCCGGTACCTGATCGTGGCATGTGACGTCCTGCCATGAACCAAAATTACCAGGTTGTGTTATATTCCCGTTTTCTTCACTGCTGCTTGAACTTGATGGTAAAGGTATGATTCTCTGTCTTTTAGTAACTGTAATATCAGTACCACTACTCGAGTCACTAATATTATCACTATCCAATTCATCATTTCTTCATCTTGTAAAATTTTTTTGGGCATTTGAAACATTTTTTTTTTCGAAATATACACAGAACTTTACCCAATCGTGTTAGTTGTAAAACTGAGTAATATTCAAAATGCAAAAATGATGCACTAAAGTGATTGAAATATATACATCAAATCATGCTATCTTTTATTTTTACGTAAATATGTCCTCAACGAAGGTTCTAGAAAGCAATTTACAAATATTAGAAATGAGCTTAAGGGATGACAAACCGGCCAACCTGCTGTGATGAAAAATCATGGTATGCCGCCTAAACGGCGACACACGAATGCAAAAGGTTAAATTAAAAAACTAAGCGCCGCGTTAAATGTTCATCACGGGTTTGTCGTTATCGACAAAGCGAAATTGCAAGTTGATAGAACTTGATAATATCCACTCACTACTACTAAATAAGCAAATAAAATTGCACATATAATTTTTAAAACCGAGAGTTTTATCGCGAAATGTGGGTATACCAAACCGAACGGGCTAAAAATAAACAGGCCGAGATCGAAACGGAAAAATATTTCAATACTTATCGGTTTGCACGAAACGAAAGGCAACAAATGTACTTTTCAATGCGAGATAACAGCCGCATTATCTTTACGAAGTTCTATTTGTAAAATTAGATGTACAAACGGTACCAAATATCTCCCCGGTGGTTGTAAGAAAAAGCAAATATAATAAACTGCGTGCAAGTAAATTAACACTATCAAAAAAGTAATTATCTACGCCGATTAAGCGCCGCCATGTCGGAGGTCAAAGGAACCCGACAACACACCCACACAGACGGAGGACGACCGAAGAAAACGAGTTTTTTGATCATAAATTCGATTGGGTACCGTAGCGACAGCCCGGTACCCCCAAAAAAACCCGAACAGCAAACAAGCAATTCAGGTATACGTCGAATTATACAACGTTGTGTTGTAATCTTCGTAAAAGAACCACAGCCAACTGCACCTCGTTTCATTGGTGGGCTGTTTAAAACGAATAAATAACTTTCGTGCTGAAGGCAATGATGAGATCATCGCCGTAGGTATATATATGTTTGCAAGTTTGATAACACGACGACAAAGGCGACCCACCAATAAGGTTTTCCGCCGCGCGATGAGAGTGTTAATTCAACGGGCGCTTGGCCATAATTACTTTCTAAACATTATACAATCTACCTTTTTAGATAACTAGGTCATTAATGCGACGTGAGAGAAGCGTGAATCTTTGTTGTCGCTCTGTGGCCGCGCTGCCAAAACCGTTAATGAAAATTATTTCGCTGAAATCGTATCCGACGACAAATAAAAGTACAGCTACATTACGGTCATCGTTCGATCAATGCGATGACACTTGACGGCCTATTATGTTCGGTGTAGGCTTTGGAACAATTTTTTTATGTTCCATTACACATTTCGGTCAAGCTCAGGCCACAAGGCACGCTTTGCTGCCTAACCCGATTTTACTTTTCTTCGTCATGGTTAGTCGTATTTTATGGCAAGCGATTTAAATACAATGACGAGCAGGTGAAGTGACACACCCCGACATTAATTTTTTGACAATGTCGGATAACCGAAATCAACGTGGTGTAGCCGAATGTGGGTGCGCAATTTTATAAATAATTCAGAGATGCTTACCGTCCCGAGTCTAGTCCAAAATGTTTATCGATCGGGAACCACTAGGGCGCCGACGAACGCGGCACGGCACTGACTCAAAATTTACACTAATGTCACCGAAACGAGTAACGGCATACGCCCCATTAATTATCGCCAGAAAAGGGTCATACGCAGTATTCACAAGCGGAAAGATATTCGGTATAAATAACGAGCACTAAATTTATGTCGGTTAATTCGTTAGATCGGAAACAGGACGCGTACCCTCGGCAGTTTCATCTACTCTCCAACTCTCCTTCCATTCCAACACCAACACGCCTCGAACGCGAATAGATGAGCGCAAGACCAAAGATGGTCGGACGATTGTCGCTCTTATGCTCTCGCACGGAAGGACCAAAATGTGAACCGTCTGATTCAGTGGTAACACTAGCGCCCGGCGTAAAAAATATCAACTAAAATCTTTTGACGTTTTTCTAGATCGTTATTCGTTATGTAGACGCCGTTTTAAAAACGTGAAAAATTCAGGTAAAAAATGCGTTTTTAATTATTTTTTCGGGATATTTTTTTTATAGTGACGTTAAAAATTGCAGATTTAAAAAAAAATCGGTAATGGGACGAAGGAGTAGGTCAAAATCACCTTTTGGCAGCAGAAGACGGGATAGAGAAAGGGATAAAGAAAGGGACAAGGATCGGGAATGGGAGAGAGACAGAGACCGTGGCAGAAGGAAAAGGTCTAGGGATAGGTCGAGAGAAAGGGATAGGGAACGAAGACGTCATTCTCATGAACGGAGAAGGTTTTCACGAAGCCGGTCCAGATCAATAGAGAAAAGGAGCAAGCCTCTCCCAGAACGTCCAGCTGTCACAGCCGCGGATTTAGAGGGTAAAAGTCAAGAGGAGCAGGAAATGATGAAGCTGATGGGATTTTGTAATTTTGATACCACCAAAGGTAAAAAAGTTGATGGAAATGAGGTTGGTGAAGTGCATGTTATATTGAAACGCAAGTATAGACAGTACATGAACAGGAAGGGTGGATTTAACCGGCCTCTGGACTTTGTCGCGTAAGGTTGCACAGTGAAAGCAAGTGGGTGATTTTTTTATGTAATGTGAACAACCATTGTTTACCTCATCGACCGATTTACCCTGCAAATGGTGGAGTTGTTCTGTTAATATGTGGTATGTGTTTTTGCACCTCTTGCACGTTTGCAGCGTAAATCTAACCCCGTTTTATTTATTGCATAGTATCACATACCTCACACTTAATTCAGGTTCCACATAGCGTTAAAATTTCTGTAAATATGTACGGTTATAGCTGAATTGGTTGTTCAATTATATATTATACACATTTCACGTTTATTTGCATTACGTTTTATATTTGGGTGATGTAAGATTAATTTTATAACAAATAAATAATTGATCTGTTTCTAAATATCTTGTTTCCTTTAGTTTTCCTTCAGTAAGCTTAGTTTTTAATATTATATTTGATTTTATATTGCCAGTTAATTTTTGTGAAGACAGACTGATTAAAAATGATAAATAAAGCACTTACTGCATGTATGCAGAACGTCCTAATCATTTATGCCAATAATTTTGGATTGACGGGCTCAATAGCTTATAGCTTTTAGATGATGGGTGTCTCGCTCTGGTGGCGAGTGGCAAAACTCTCATCGAGTCGGTAAATTAGAACTCGCGCTTGGAACGTCATTCGTTTTATTGATCTTTACATGCGGTATTGGTGCCCTGTGTTGGCGAGTAGTCGAAACTAACATGGTAGATAAAAGAGAATTCTAGCGGTACGCTATGATCATTTTTTAATGTCGAGTACTTCAGAATTGAGTGCTGAGGTTTGACAGTTCCAAAACTATTTTCCAACGGTTTTTCATGGTTTATTAAATTTATAACTAGGATAAACAAATCTGTGACTGCGGTTCCCTCGAAGGCAATTCGAATAAGGCTTTGCGCTGCAGAAGCATTTGACGCAACGACGACGCTTCTTCTCGCAGGGTCAAGACTTGCGCCCTCAGTATTGCGTTTTCGTGTTCCAGCAGGGTGGCTTTCAACGCTATCTGGAAAGAAACTAATATTGCTCTCGCTTTTCAATGACTACGACGTGTTACACTTTGACATTTAAAAGTGAAAACCATTGTTGAGAAAAATATTGCTGTTTTACCTGATCTTCGCGCATTTTCCTGGCGTCTCGGGACTTTTTCGCCGCCTGATTGTTGCGCCGCCTGCGTTCGAAATATTTATCGTCCTTCTGCGCATCGGGTATGGGTTTCTTCACGCTCCTTTGTTTTCGATAACCAGAGCCGCATAATCCGGGCGATAGCAAAACCGGAGTCGAGTTATCTAATGGACAAAAACATTATTTTTCTTCGCTTTTTTCGACGTTCGACGACGGTATAGTCGCCCCAGCATTATAAAAGAGTAATATAATCGTCTCGGACAACAGTTTGCTAATAAACGAAAAAAAAAGTTTGTAGAGAGACGTCTAAGAGCAGAGCCAGACACGCCATATTCCTAGTAGATTCTCCTCAGTTTATCCAGATTGAAATTTAACACAAACGCAGCTAGATTCGTTGCGGATTCCTCCTGCTATAAGTATATCGAGAACTGCTAATCATACAAAAATTACTTCTGGGGACCTTTATTTCAATCTTTTTTTGCGGATTCCCTCCAAAACCAGCATGAAATATCCAAAAAAAAAAGCCACCAAAAGACCAACCAACCTCCTACCATTGTATCATGAAAATTCCTAGTTGTCGTTACACCGTAAAACTAACAAAAATAATCCAATGCAGGTTTAAACGTGCGCACGTTAGATGGCGCTATTCAAAAATAAGTTTAAAATTAATACAAGATATATGGGTAAAAAGGCCAATGTATTTTTTATTACTCTCTGATTATTCTGGGACTGTACTCACCTAGAGAGTCGGCTTCCAGCGGGTGTAAAGTGGGTGGTAAATTTATCAAAGCTGTCGGTGCGAAAATCCCTTTGGTATGTGTGGGTAAAGTGTAAGCGCCACCGGGTGTTCCCTCGACTGCGGGAAATCTCTGACGTTCGTTCTTAGTTATAAAAGTGTCGTTTAGTTTGGGATGCGGATCTGGAATATTTCCTCAAAATAATAAAAGAAAATGCAGTAGGAAACGTTTTTCTTTCAGTTTTCAGCACGTTTTTGCGAAAATATTTTGCTCATATGTTTACGTTCACTTTGTTTATTTAATAGTTTGTATTTATGTCACTAGGGGTCATCGTTAACGCCTGGAAAAATGCATTTCAAAATCGCGAAAAAGTGACAAAAAATGTGTGCTTATAACTATAATGTTTGAAAGAAAGAAGAAGGAAACAGTTCCTCCCTTTTTTGTCATTTTTGAGATAGAATTTCAATCAGATGGCGACATTACCATATATAGCAATGCAATGTTTCAAAAAATGGCAATCAAGTCCCGAGCGTTCGACCTAGTAATTCTCTCAACATCGAAAAGAACATAATTTCTCGCCATAAATTCACACATTCGCATCCTGTAAAACGAAAAGTGATTTTAAAAATATTTGACATATTAGACGCTTCAGGTTACTTATTTTAAATAGAACCTCCGGTATTTGGCTTCATTTTTGGGTGTCTTAAAATTTCCCTAATTTAATTAATTTTTGGTTTTTGGACATTGCCGATATGGTAAACGAAAACGCATGAATTGCCATTTGAAAATCGATATTAAGAGTTGAATTATCGCTTACAGAGTGTCTAAAATCGCGTAATGTGCGCGCCTGGATTTGAAGAAGCCATCGAGAAGCCATCGTCAACAAAATTCAATCATTGATCTCTACTTTGAATGACCAGTACAAGAGTTTCTTAACTCATAAACCAAGAAAATGTCAAACTTGGTCAAAATTAATGCTAACTAGAAAGAACTTTGGGGTTTAAGCGACTTTTGATATGGAAAGAAGAATTAGATCATGTATCACACTATACAATAAGAGGTATCAATGATATATGATATATGATTGGTTGCTATCAAGGCAGACTTGACCATTTTTAAACAATGTGGTTATTGTCGAGAAATCGAATGATAAATTTTTAAACTGAAATACCTCAAAAACGGCTAAATGAAATGTCAAACTATATATTGGAATCAGGAAAAAAGATCTACAGTTTAAGTTAATAATATATGTGGTATTCCATTTAAAAAAATGATGTTCCTGTCATTTTGACAGCTTGCGATCGTCGTTTGTTTTTTTTCTGACATTTGCACAAGACAATAGACCAAAAATCTTCAAACTTTTGGATTTACACTCTTTTTTCTATCTTTCAAAATTACCCCTGTAGGTGGGTGTGAAAATATAATTAATAATCCTGTACATTGCAAATAAGTAAGACATTTCATCTGCTGTCTTCGTTACGGTGTGGCGCGGCCCTTTGAGTGCGTCGCATACGCACCTTGACCAGCGGTCGTCAACAAGTAATTGCAGTTCCTCAACAGACTGTACGCGGAGAAGGTAGACACCGGCAGGAACTGACCGTTGACGAATTCGCAAGCAAAACCGCAACCCGTGCTACCGGACGTATCCATAACGAAAACCCGAAGCCCACAAATTAGACCATCCAACCCGCCTTTGGTAAATACGCAACAAAAACTGAATATGGACAAAGCGTCGTAATAGAATTTCGTCGGCAATCACGTAACATCGTCATTAACCTGGCAACCGTGTGTAACGTTGCTACGACCCGTTACGACACGGTAGGGGGTGTCGGTTGTCGCCTTTTAGCCCGCCCTTCGAGCCCTGCGCACCGAAATCCTCCCGTCCGATTGGTCGATCTTGACGTCGAAAATGATCAGCTTACGGAATTTCTCATCCGCATACTGATAATACTCGCTCGCGTTTTCGAATTCGTATTGACGATTTCTTACAGAAATTATATTAATTAAACTTGGGTGCATAGAAATAGGTCCACTCTAAATTTTTCAATTTAGTGTTGTTTTTTCTAGAAACTCTTCATCTGACGCAAAAAAATATACATGGTATTTGGAAGACAATTTAATATGCCTTAACAATTGAAACGTGTTCATGTAGTAGTTCTAATGATAGTAACAAACTTGTTACCGTATGAAAAGGACTGGATCCTTTGCTAGGTGCCCTGAAACAGAAAGAAGCCGAATTACAACGGCTCGTGATGACCGCTTTATTGTATCAACAATAATAAGAAATCGTCATCTTTATGGGGTTCAAAAATTACCTGACCCCAAAAACAACTGCAATGCGTTCAAAACTTAGTTTTTGTTTATTGGCAAACACGCCTACGCCTTCAGGGGTCATTGGACCAATGTGGTTCTGTTCTGTTCTCAGATGAGACCAGAATATGCGTTTTTGATAGTGATTAACGAAAAAAAATTTACCGAAGACCAAGATATGGGGTGCAATTTGTATGGATGCACCCTGTTTTCATCCGGTCGTGGTCAAGGGACACGAGGTTTAACGGGCGTTAGGTACATCGAGGATACTTTATCAGATCACTTGGTACCTTGTGTCGACTACATTGGAGAAGATTTCAATTTTATGCATGACAATGCTATGAGCACATCGCAAGGATCGTGTAAGATTCCAGAAGCCGGTTTTCGAGTTATGGACTGGCCAGCATGCAGTCCCGACCTCAATCCGATCGAACATTTATGGGATAAGCTAAAACGGAGAATTCAAGCTAGACTTCTTTCCCCAACCTAGATCCCAGAGCTTGTTGTTGCAGTAGAGGAAGAGTAGCTCAACATTCGTCAAGAAACAATAGCGATTTTGATTAGACCTATGCCTAATCCAGTAAGAGATGTTCTAGGGCAAGAGGGGGTCATACCCATTATTAAAAATATAAAAAAAATAAGTATTTGTTTTTAGTAATCAAAAAAAGTTAATTTGACTCGTGCAGTTATTTTACTATGCTGAACCTAAAAAGCAGATATAAATTTTAATCAATTTAAACTCGCATTAAAGCATATGAAATTGTCTTTTAAACAGCTTTTTTTTATCTGATCAGTAATTTCATAAAAAAAAGAAATTGAAGTCAAAAGTGCACCATGGGCCGGTTTCTATGCATTTGTAATATAATATATAATAATTACAGTAATTCACCAACTATTGTTATGTGTAAATTGTGTAATCAAATCCGCATGCTTAAATCTAAACTAAAAATTCTGTAAATCTGTTGTGTTTGTAAATAAATAAATAAATAAAAATGAATACAATTGTGAAAAACAGATCCGTATTGTCATGTCCGAAAAAAATTTTGAATAGTCCGCACCTTGACAAAGCTATGTAGAAAAAGGTACTAAAATATGACATAATTCAAAAATTCATTTGGTCCGAATTGTGTTTCTTATTTTACCTATTTTAAGCTATTAAAAAAATAGAAAAAGACATTGTATCAATAGTGAAGATTTACAGGTTAGTGAAAAAATCAATGGCACAAAATAAAGGTTAAGAATAGGTTAAGAATGCAGGTTGTTTATCTTGAAACAAAATTGTCGATATGGCGTGTGCAGGTGCGGCTTTTAAGTAGATAAAATTGGAGTCTCCCCACCCGTGAGATCTGTCACGTGTTCGTCTGATCGTCGTGATCAATCGTGAAAATTAAAGAACACCTGCCGTGCAGATATCTACTTCTTCGCATGTTTAAAATCGCTAAACAGTGATAAATAATAAAAGCAAACAAAAATAATCTTCACTCAAATAAAAAAAAGGAATGGTGGTGTATTTCTATCGATTCGAACCCAACTTCTTTATGGGACTAAAAATTCAAATTGACAAAATTTGTATTAATTTTCTATTCTATTTATTTGTTTACTTAAAATTATTATTTTCATGTACTTAAATAAGTCAGATGCGAATGGATTATTTATTAGTTATGATTTTTATTGATTAAAAAAAATATTTGACTAAAATAAGACAATAGGAATAATAAAAGAATATAAATATCTTATCTAAAGTTTCTTTGTTTCTTTGTTCTTTCCGTAATTATATAAATCCAAGAATACGAGAGTTGTAATAACATATTGTTTGTTTAGTCCCCTTGTAAGTGGGAAGTAAGACTTTGTAATTTGGCAAATAATAAGTTACTTATATCGCGTATACTTATTATTTAATTTAGATATAAAGGAGCGACACTCTGTAACCGACTTTTTATTAATTTTTATATTCAAAGCTGGCAGATTTTAATTTCCATTTAAAAAGTATCTTAAAATAGAACAATTTCCTTTTTTAATGTTGAGTTTATTTCTGTCTACAACCCATATTTCTTATTTTTAATTTATTTAGATATTTTATTTATTTCGCATATGGGAATGATAACAAATGACAGTAAGTAATGTAGGACCTTTAAACTATTAATGCAAGATTAATTATTAGTTTTAGTAATTTAAACTTCTCCTTGTATTTCGTGTAATGATTTCCAATGTATTTATATCGCCTATATTTTATTATTTAGATATAAAGGATCGACATTGTGTAACCGACTTTTCATTTAATTTTTATATTCGAAGCTGGCAGATTTTCATTTCCATTTAAAAAGCAACTTAAAAAAATAGAACAATTTCCTTTTTCAATGGTGATTTTATTTCTATCGATATTTCTTATTTTTAATTTATTTTTTTATTTTATTTATTCGCAAATGGAAATAAGAACAAATAACAGTAAACAATGCGCAATATCTGCACAAAATGTAGGATCTTCGAACCATTAATTCATCTTCTAGCAACTAATTTTTAATAAAATGCAAATAGATCAATGTTTTAATAATATTTAAATTAATAGAAAAGCAAAAAATAACTTTTTTTATTTTTATTTTATTTTTTAGGTTACCAGTAATTATAGTTGAATTATTTTTGAGTAAGGTTTTTCTGTGTTTGTTACTTTTAGTTGTGGTTTATAAAACATTTTCCTATTTAAATGTGTACAACCCTATTTGTAAAAAGTATAACAGTTTAGCATCAAACATATTTGATTCGTAGAAGATCCTGTTCTTTTTAATTTTTGAAAAGTACTTCCGCAAAATTTCAACTTCTCTCATTTTTTATGTCACCATTTGCGAAAATGTTTTGTTTCTAATAATCGTGCGTTTTAAATATAAAACGGCGCTTTCAAATAGTCGGTTTCGTGCGAAGCATACCGAACCAATAATCATTCGAATAAAAATCCGTGTCGCTCGGCGATATTATAAAAACATTTCCTACTTTTTGAATAAATTATAAAGATCACATGTTGAGCGGCTTTAATAAACGGTCACCTCGCACTGCTACGATTATTATTCGTATGTGGATAATAAGGCTCGGAGGGGATACCGTAATTTATGAATAAATTTAAAAAGAAAAACTGGTCAAATGCGAGAGTATTTCATTTGCTGCAAACGCGCCGACCTCGTTGCGTATTTCTTGGTCTATTGCGAAATCTCGACCAATCGCGTCGTCTCGTTAAAGATGAAGAGGACGCACTGAGAAGGTGGAGTCTCGCAATCCTATTCGCTACTCCAAAAAGATCGTTTTTTGTCACTCCAGTCACACCAATCGTTTTATATTCGATGGAGACATTGCATTAACGAATATTATTCAATACTTATATTCATGTAGACTGACATTTTCGTTCATTAGGGTAGGTAATCTGTAGTAACTAATACCAAGAAAATAACGTAAGTTACTAAGTACGATTTTTCACTAAATAAAATTTTTGAGGAAGGCCACATAATAAATTGGTTTTCTAAGACCCTAATGTAACTGCTCTACTAAATGGAAGAATCACTGGAATATGTCTTCTTCATGTGGATTTCATTAGTTTCCGTTTTGCTGAGGTCATCTAGTGAGGCAGATTTGTAAATCCAGATCGTTCTTTGAAATAACTTTCAATTTTCCTTTTCAGCTACGAGGATGCACTAATAAATGCTTAACGCTTAAATCTGACCTCAACCTCAACAACATTTCAAAATGTATTCACGATATGATTATGTATAATGAATTGAAAATATAGCACCAAAAGTATAAAAAATACTATTCTGTAGACATTTTGAGCTATGCTCCATTTCTTAATACAAGAGATTTATGAATCATTAATTAACTGTCAAACTTGGAGGTCAGTTGACCTACCTGTGCCTTAGTGTTGAAAATTATAATTATAATTACATTCTGGTAGTTCTTGAAAACTGCGCTTTTTAAAACGGTGCTAGCGTTTCAATCAAAACTAACCGAAGAGTATCATGAAGAGATGAATACTGAGGTTTTTGAAAAGTGCTTCTAGCAAATGCTAGAGTTTATACCTCCCGAGCCTATTATGGTCATGGATAATGTCAGTACTACTCAAAAACATTCGAAAAAATACCACGAAAAAAAAAATGACATCAGTCATTGGTTAACTTTAAATCAAAAGCAATTGCTGAAAAAAGGATCTACTGGAGATTTGAATAAACTTCTTTGCACGACAAAATCGCTTCAGAACGAAATATTACGGTCCTTCCGCCATATCACTGTGAATTAAACCCCATAGAATTGGTATGGGCGCAAGTAAAAGAGAGAATAAAGACAGTGGATTGTGAGAAATGGAGAAAATGCTTGAATACTCGGAATATGATGACAAATTTACAAATGAAATTGGTTTTATAGTAGATTTATTATTTTTTCTATTCCCATCTGTAAAATACCTAAAAACGCACCGAT